GCTCGAGCAGACAAAACCAATTACTGTAATGAAATGTGCAAAGACCTGGAGTCTGAAAACCAAAAGGGAAGAACACGCTCGGCATCTCTCAAGCTGAAAGAATTGAAGAAAAAATTTAAGCCTCAACTTGCAATATTGAGATTCTATGGGTAAAATATTGAATGATGCAGGAAACATCAAGAGAAGATGGCAGGAATACACAGAATCACTGTACCAAAAGGAACTGGTTGATCTTCATCCATTTCAGGAAGTGGCATATGATCTAGAACCAATGATACTGAAGAAGGAGGAAGTCAAAGCTGTAATGAAAGAATTGGCAAAGAACAAGGCTCTGGGAATTGACGGAATACCCATTGAGATATTTCAACAAACAGATGCCCCATTGGAGGCACTCACTCGGTTATGCCAAGAGATTTGGAAGACAGCTACCTGGCCAACTGACTGGAAGAGATCCATATTTGTACCAATTCCAAAGAAAAGGGATCCCACAGAATGTGGAAATTATAGAACAATATCATTAATATCACACGCAAGTAAGATCTTACTGAAGATAATTCAAAAACGTTTGCAGCAGTATATTGACAGAAAACTTCCAGAGGTGCAAGCCGGATTCAGAAGAGGAGGTGGAACAAGGGATATCATAGCTATTGTCAGATGGATCTTGGCTCAAGGCAAAGAATACCAGAAAAATGTTTACTTGCGTTTTATTGACTATGCAAAAGCATTTGATTGTGTGGATCATGACAAATTATAGATAATATTGAAAAGAATGGGAATTCCTGAACACTTGATTGTACTCATGAGGAACCTGTACCTCGAGCAGGAGGCTGTCATTCGAATGGAAGAGGGGGATACTGTTGTTGTTGTTATGTGCCGTCGAGTTGGCCCCGACTCACAGCGACCCCTCCTTGGGCTTCCGAGGCAGTATCACTACGGAAGTAGGATTGCCCAACCTTCCTTCCGAGGAGTGGCTGGTGGGTTTGAACCGCCAGCCGTCTGGTTAGCAGGCAAGTGTCTTAGCCACTCTGCTACCAGAGCTCCCAAGGGGACACTACATGGCTTAAAATCAGGAAGGGAGTGCGTCAGGGTTGTTTCCCCATACTTACTCAATCTATATGCTGAGCAAATAATCCAAGAAGCTGGACTATATGAAGAAAAACGTGGCATCAGGATTGGAGGAAGAATCATTAACAACCTGAAATACGCAGACAATACAACTTTGCTTGCTAAAAGTGAGGATGACTTGAGGCACTTACTGATGAAGGCTGAAGAATATAATATGCAATATGGATTATGTCTCAATATAAAGAAAACAAAAATCCTCACAAATGGACCAATGAGCAGCATCACAATAAATGGAGAGAAGATTGAGGTTGTCAAAGAATTCACGTTGCTTGGTTCTACAATCGATGCCAATGGAAGCAGCAGTCACATTACAAATTCACTGTCCCTTTAAACCAAGGCAAATGAAACATCAGCCAATTCACGCCTAAATTCCTGAAATTTATATGAGTGTGTATAGACTCCTTTCTTGAACCTTACAGAAACTGTATCCTAACCCCAATTCGGGAGTCAGATTTGGGTACTGGCCCCTGCCTCCTTACCATTCACATGGTAATAAATTGTTTTTCTCATCTCTCAAGCACTCAGTGTGTGTGTGAACTCATTCGCCTTGATTGCACACCAGGCAGGGACTCACTTTAGTCTGCCTTCAGAGGCAGACGCAATCACACTTGAAGAGGAAACTACAGCCAGAGCGAGTCACGGCCTTCAGAGTAGGAGGGGTGGTGTCTTGGTTCTTTATGCTGCTATTGCAGAAATACCACAAATAGATGGTTTTAACAAACAGAAACTTAATTTCCACATGTCAGAGGACCAGAAGTCTGATTTCAGGGTACCGGCTCTAGGGGAAGGCTTTCTCTCTGCGTGGGCTCTGGAAGAAGGTCCCCATCTCTTCTGAGCTTCTGCTTCTGACTGATATTCAAGGGGCCTGGCATCTCTCTTCCTCATCTCTGCTTGTTTCCTTACTTATTATTAAACAACAAAAAACTTTGCGATTTTTTTACACCTCTAAAAAGACTGACTGAAGATCTATCCTCCACCAAACCTGCCTCGCTAACATAACAAAGACAACCCATTCCCAAATGAGATTATAACGATGAGCGGAAAGGTTAAGATTTACAACACATATTTTGGGGGGACATTAATTCAATCCATGAACAGGTGGCGACAGAGAGAAGGGATGCCAGAGTAGGAGTATCTGGGTGAGAGACGTCCTCTACCTCCCATCTTTGCAAGAAGGCACCCAGAACAGACTAGAGGAATGAACCCAAGAGGAAGAACAGTGGTGCTCTGTGTGACCAGCAACGCCAAGAAGTGCAAGGAGCCTAGTCCCAGAAGGTGAGCTCTACGCACACCCCCAGCACCAGCCCATACTACCTCCACCTCACTAGCTCTGCAAGCAGGCAGGATCCACACTGCACTTCAGATGCACACATGGACACATACCTGAAAGCCACCCAACACTGGAGGAGAAACCCACATCAAAGAGAGGCATTTAGCTACTGAAAACAGAAAGAAAGAAAGAAGAGACACACAAGGAAACAAAGTTACTAAGACAAACAGTAGCCTAAGTATAGAACAGAATAAATATAATTCATATTCTCAGAGACCTGAAAGGACATTATATGCATAACAAAGGAATCAACAATCTTGGAAACTGAGATTATGGACAGACAATTTAGCTGAATGATCATCACAAAGGCGTATTAATGAGCTTGACTCTATCTCAGAAATTCTATCAGGTTACACTGAAATATATTTAAAAAGAGAGGAAAAAGAATTTAAGAGTCATGGAGAACAATTTAGCAGTTTCAATTTTCATCCGAAAGGAGTTGCAGAAAGCAGGTTTTGAGAGAAGAGAGGAAGAAATATTAATAGAAAAATTTCAGCGTCATTTAATTTACCCCTCTCAGCAATGCAGTGAGGAAGCCACACTTTTAAGATGAAAAAACCAAGATAAGAAAGTAAATGGCCTCACTCAGGGCCCCAAGACTAAGAGGATCTGCTTCCTAGTCTGCCTGACTCCAGAGCCTGAGTTGTTTCCATGGGGTTACCTGACTAAGACATGCTGTATATTCCCTAAAAGCTTACACAGAAAACAGTATTCCTCCAAGCGTGGACCATGGGATATCAGCATGTGTTATGTAGTGCCTACAGCATTTGGCTGCTAACCAGAAGGCTGGTGGTTCAAACCCCCCAGGCATTCCTCGGAAGGAAGACTGTGCAATCTACTTCCATAGAGATACCGCCTCAGAAACCCAAGGAGGGGTCACTATGAGTCAAACTGACTCAACAGCAGTGAGGTTTTCTTTTTTTTTTTTTTTTGATGTGAGAAGAGGAGCTTTGGTGGTACAGTGGATTTGGCTGCTAACCAGAAGATTGGCGGTTCAAACCTACCAGTTCCTCCACAGGAGGAGGAGGAGGAGGCAATCTACTTCTGTCAAGATTTACAGCCTTGGAAAGACTATGCAGGTCACTACGAGTTGGAATCAACTCAATGGCAGTGTTTTTTTTTTTTTAATGTGGACAGGGATTCTGATGTCAAATATATGTGGGAAGTGCTGGTGAGATGGCATTGAACAGATTCTCTTAACTACAGGACTTCTCAGAGGCTTTAGTGTGCACTCTGTATTTTGAACACAATGCAGTGGCTAAGAGCACTAGCCTTGGAATCAATCAGACGTGTTTCTAGACCCTTCTCTGCCTCTTTTGCTATTTGTGAGGTTTAGGAAGACTTTTTCCCCTCTGGGCCTCAATTTTCTCAGGTGTTAAATAGGAATCATAATTATATCTTTGGGTGTCTTCCAGGTTTGGGGGGTGCCAGAGGAAATGGCAGATGTGCGCGTACTTCATAAAATGTAAGTGTACAAATATGGAAACAAAACAAAACAAAAAACCCAAGGGGTCATACCAGTCCAAGCCACAACCAATCATGTGGATGGCGCAGGACCGGGCAAGGTTGCGTCCCACTGCACAAGGTTGCGTCCCACTGCACAAGGTTGCCTTAAGTCAGGAAGTGACTGGACGGTAGCTAGTAATGTTTATGTAACAGAAATAAATTTCCATAAAAGACAGACTAAATTATTTAAACTCTCTAATCCTAAATATTACATAGGGTAGCATCACTCTTGGATTACTTTCATCTCTACATCAAACCGCATTCCCTCAATGCTCTTCCAATTTCTCGTGGCCCTCCTATTTCACAGAATTCCCAAATAAGCCTGTATGGAAACCACCACTATGAGAATGAAATCTTAGTAGGATTAATATTTTTTCTGGTACCCATTTCACCTTCCCTACACACAACCTTCCCAAAGAAGCCCAGTTACAAGGGATGCACCTGGGGGTGGGGTGAAAGGCTTGATAATTTCAGTTTTATAAAATAAGAAATCTGGTGCCATAGCCACATTAAAACTCACAAGAACAGAAACGGGGAAGGTATCAGACACCTTCTGATGTCTCCAGTGCTGTGCTGAACAGGCTAACACTCTCCCCTTGTGAAATGGCCCCTCAACTAACACCCACTACTGATATGCCAGGCCTACTGTCATGGGCCTGCCCTACAATTAAGAAACAGGGAACAGGCAAACACCATCCCACCAATTACACCCCTCTTTGGTGTATGTTGTTGTTGTTAGGTGCTGTCGAGTTGGCTCGTGGCCACCCTGTGCAGCAGAAGGAAACGCTGCTGGTCCCGCGCCAGCCCTCCTCTCCTTGTCCACCTCAGTCCACTGCTGCAGCCACTGTGCCACTCCACCTCGTTGAGGGGCCTCGCCCTTTCTGGCCGAGGCTCCTCTACAAAACATAGGATCCCTGGTGGCACAGTGGTTAAGGTGCTCAGTTGCAAACCAAAAATGTTGGTGATTCAAAAACACCAGCTGCCCCATGGGAGAAGGATGTAGCAGTCTGCTTCCGTAAGTATTTCCAGCCTTGGAGACCTTCTGGAATAGTTCTCCTCTATCCTATAAAGTCGCTACGTGTCAGAGTCAACTTAACGATGGTAGCTTTGATTTTAGTTTGCTTTGGTTTAGAGGCTCCTCTATAAGACAAGGAGCCTAGGTGGTGCAGTGGACAGGTCCTCAGCTCTAACCGACAGGCAGATGGTTCAAACCCACCAGCTGCTTTATGGGAGAAAGATGAGGAAGTCTGCTTCCATACAGATTACAGCAGTTCTTTCCTGTACTATAGGGTCACTGTGAGTCAGAATTGACTCGACAGCAACAAGTTTTTAGTTTTCTATAAAACACAGAAGTCCCCATTAAAGGGTTAAGCCTATTCTCATTTTACCTAATTGAGCCACAGTAGACATATGACTGTAGACCACCTCCAAATCCTACAACACCATGGCAACTTGGAAGTACTGTGAATGGGACATTACACAAGGAAAAAACACTGAGAGGAAATGTAGTTCCCTTGGTTCGGCCACTAAACAATTCACCGCAGAGGATCCATATTTATTCCTCAGCAAAATTTTAAACTATTCTTTAACACTGACCTTTGATGTACACCCCCACATTCAGAACAATCAAAACTTTATATAAATAAAACTATATAAAGCAGTTTGCACAGTGCTGAACACAGCAAACACTTAATAAAACAAAGACAGCAAGGACAATAGATTTTCATCAGGAAAACGTCAATCCAACACTTGGGACTAGGATCTATGACCCAGTGTAACAAGCACATTTTTGCAGCTGGGGTTCCTGCAAAGAGTACAGCAGGATTATTAAGAAGGATTGCTTACTTCTCAATTCTGCAGCAAATGCTAAGGCTGTGGATACCTGACCTTGGCAAAGCACGCAGCAAGACTGGCCACACTACCACAGAACATGCGCGTCTATTTAACTCTGGTCCACTCTTAGGGAGTCCTGCTGGCGGCATGCGTTGCTTGAGCTCCCAGGGCTCAACTCCCTCACAGACCTGCCTTCAGAACCTTCCTCTCTGCCTTGCTATGACTGGCTATGACTTTGTGCAGCTGAGCTTACTTCCTCGTGTGTATCACGGAGACCCCTGGGGAGGGTCCGCGGCAATGAATGGACGAAATAACAGACAACAAACTTCACCGGCGTTAAGTCACTGCTGCTGAGCCCCAGTGGGGCTGCCATCTTCTAGTTCCCCATATCAAACCAAGAGCCTAATGAAAGGCTTTGAGGGAAAGAAAATCAAATAATTCATCTTACCAATTTAAGTCATTAAAGAAACATGACACTAGGACAGGAAGAACCGTGCCACAAGCAGTTTATCTCCTCAGATACTTTCTGGAAGAGTTCATCTTATCCAGGTCTATGTGGATCTACGTTTTGGGGAGTTGGAAAACAGCCAGATGAATCTTAGAAGGCAAATTTCCAAGTGGAGAATAACTCTGGTTCTTTTATTTAAAAGACCAGTTCAATGATTAAATAAAAATTACTTCATCACACAGACAGTACATTTTGTGATAAGATACGGGTGAAAATATACCAGAGACTGAACATAACTGCAGTATAATAAATTACTTTAATATGGCCCTTCTAGCCACAGTGTTTATGACTCCCACACAATGACTGGGTGAGATTATGCAAATAAGGTACTTATGGCCCACCAAGGAGATTGGATATTAACTGTCTATTAATAATGCAAAGAAGGCGCATGGAACCCTAACGAGGGGATTGGTCAGTTTTGCCGTCCTGATAGGCTTAAAGGGAGCCGATTGTAGCAATGGGGGGTGGGTGGACAGTGGTGGTAGTAAGGGAGTCAGTCACTACCATCAAGAGGAGGAGCTAGGAGCAAAGTGCATCCTTTGGACCCATAGTCCCTATGCTGAGAACTTCCTAGACCCAGGGGACACAGAGAGCTTTAACATTGATGACAACATAAGATGGCAAGAAGTGGTGGCAAACAGCAGCAGCAAAACCAGGAGACAGGTGCGAGATAGTGCAGTGGTCTTCCCAACCCACAGAGCAAGGCAGCTATAGGAGGCAAGCCAATTCTTTGGAGTGCAGCAAGAGAGCTGAACGCCTCTGAGCAGACAGTTTGTTGGTGGAGTAGGGTGCCTTTGGCCACTTGTCAGCAGAGCCAGAGAGCACTGCGACGCTTGCCCAAGCACGGCAGAGGCCAGGCTAAGGGGTCCAGAGGGAGACCTGCCTGCCAGCAAGGCCCAGAAACTATCCTGACCAAAGCACTGTAACTTGAGTCACTCCTGATGCTGAACTGTAACCTGTTACTTCCTTAATAAACCCCCTAACCGGGAATATGACTGTGAGGTCTGCATGGCCATTGCAATGCATTATCAAACACAGCAGAGGACAGTGAATACAGTCTGTGAGGTCTGCAAGGCCACTGCAATGCATTATCAAGCACAGCAGAGGACAGAGTGACACGGGAGGGACAGCTGGTGTCAGAACTGGAAAAAAGGTTGGAGAGGCAGTATGACTGACCTCGACCTCAAAGAAACCAGCTTTGGCCTAATGGCAATTTTGATTCTTTTCCTCCCATTTGTAAATTAAGAGGTAGTCTGACGATGCTGCTGCACCATTTTTACAATAACAATACTGAAGTCCTGCTAAAAAGCTTTCACCAGAGTGGGGGTGGGCTGGGGAAAAGGTATCCAAGTAAGGCATCCTTAGTAAGACCCCAAGTACCAGGTAAGGCTTATGTACAAAACTATGTTATCTCCACTCCGTGGAGAGATCAATCATGGGAGACTAGAAGGACTGAGAATGCACAAGGAGACATCTGGTGAGCAGGAGTGCATGGGAGGGAAGGACACAGGGAAGAGATGGCTATGGGGAGGAAGTGGGAGGAGAGCTGTTACAATGTAGGAAATTGTAATCATGTCATGAGACAAAGTGTATGTGAGCTGCTGTATGGAAAATGAATTTGCTCTGTAAACGTTCACCCAAATCACAATAAAAATTAAGTAATTAATTACATTAGTAATGATTATCCAGGTCTATGTGGATCTACATTTTGGGGAGCTGAAGAACAGCCAGATGAATCTTAGAAGGCAGGTTTCCAAGTGGAGAATAACTCTGGTTCTTTTATTTAAAAGACCAGTTCGGTGATTAAATAAAAAATTAAATTTAAAAAACCTATGTATCTTCAAAGCATGGTCCTTTAATATACACTGGAGAGCCAAACCTCTGAGCCAGAGAGAAAAATCTCCAAAAGCGCAAAGCAGGGTGACAAACAGACCAGCATCCTTTCTCGTAAGAACGATTTGTGCTTCATTTTCTTTTCAGGCTGCCAGGAAGCTGAAAGCCAAATCAGATGTCCTATCACAGGAACAAAATGCTCATACAATTTAACATATTTACTTTATTTTCTCCTGTTTTTGAGATTCTGATCACTCTGTACGATTAACCTTAATTGTACAATACGCACAGCCTTCTCTGAAGTTATTTAAGATTACTTTAAAGGAGATAAATTATAAAATGAAACAGTTGCTGGAGAGCTATACCAGAAGACAGGGCCCTGGGCCCAGATGGGGGTATGGGGCTTAACCACTTGGACCTCAGCCTCTTCAGTCAAGCAAGCAAGAAGCCAGCCAGCCAATTCAAGGTAGTATTTCAGATGCTTACAGTCAACCACGATTTTGAGGTGCAAAATGAGATAAAAGGAATTAACTACTTGGAAAATGCTCAGAGTGATCTGAGTAAGCACTTTTCTGCCATCCCTTCCCCAGAAAACAAGAATGTGATACACTTCCATTGCAACGCTGAACTATACTGGGTGAATCCCTGCCCCATACACATTAACCCTTCCAGACTGGCAGTTTAGTTTCAGAAAATCAAATCAAAGATTTTATATCAGTAGTAAAGACTCAACACACTGTCAACAGGGACTCATTAGACAACGTGGAGAGGGCAAACTATTGTCAAAAATAAGGCACTGTTACGGCTATCTAAGATGTAACAATTGTTCTCTCCTCTTCCGGAGCAGAGAAAAGTGAAGAAAATCAAGGACATATGGAAATGATTTGTCCAGGGGACTAGTACACTATCAGAATCTCAGCCCACATGACCCCAAGCCCAGAAGAACTAGATGGTGCTTGGCTACCACTGCCAACCACTTGGAAAGGGATCAAAATTGGAGATTCTGGACAGAGTGGGAGAAAAATATGGAATAAAACTCAAAAACATAAAAAAGTACAGGCTTATTGGTCTGACAGAGACTGGTGAACTCCCAAGACTTTGGCCCCTAGTTCCCCTTCAGGCCTGGCATTGAATTCATTCCTGTGGCTTAACTTTCAGCCAAACAATGGACAGGCCTATGGGGTGAATAATTGCACCAGGTAGGTCCACTCCTTAGAACAATCAACCATGGGAGAACACAAGTGCAGCATTTGCACAGGGAGACAGCTCAGAGGGCAGGAATGCATAGGAAAGAAGGACACAGGGAAAAGGAAACCATGAGGAGGAAGTGGGAAGAGAGCTGTTACTGTGGGGATTATAACCAATGTCATGAAACAAAATGTATATAAACTGTTGAATAGAGAACTAATTTGCTCTCACCCAAATTACAATTTTGAAAAGAGGCACTGTTTCATCACACAAGCACATCCATGGGCAAAAGCAAGAATTCCTATTATTGTTTTGGAAAAGGTTAGCAATAATGATGGTTATGTTGGCGAATGTCTTGGTGTGCACGTTTTCACAATAAAAGAAAAGAAAATTTCTATTGTTTAGCCCCTCTTGCAAGGCAGGCCCCTTACATTCCTAGTACAAACAGGAACTGTGAACTAAAGCAATGGGTGCAGGAAATAGTAAAAAGGAAAAGATGAGAGAGAAATAAATACCTTTGCTCCTTAGAAAATCTTCAGGGAGGTCAGCACTTAAAAGTTCTTTCCTTGACTGCATCAGGAGTTCCTCCTACAGTAAGAAAATCCAAGAGTCAAAAAGGGTCCAGAGAGGCCTGAGCTCAAGGCTATGAACTATTCCGAGGCTTTCCGATGTCTCCATGGAACGCGCAAGCAGGCACACTTATCGGGAACTGAAGGACATCTCATTTTAGCGAGTATAATCAATCAATTACTATTATGGAGGGCCAAGAGGCCGAGGGTCAGGGAGAGGCCTGCCGGCACACCTGAGGAAAAACTATCCTGACCGAAGAACTGTATCCTGACTCTTTCCTGATTCTGAATTGTAACTTACTACTCCCCTAATAAATGCCATAATCCTGAGTACTGTCTGTGAACTCTGTGTGGCCGCTGCAATGAGTTACTGAACCCAGCAGACAAGTAGAGACTGCAGTGGGAGGGACAGTTGGTGCTGGAAGTGGTAAAAAGGTCAGAGAGAGGCTGTATGTGTGACCTCTGCCTCATAGGAATCAGCTCTCTTAAATTTGAACTCGAAAAGCCAAGTTTTCCAAGTTCTAGACAAGAGATATTTAAAGCAGCAATTGAGACCTCTGTATTGAGAAACAAACTGCTGCAATGTAATCTTAATTTACTTGATAGGAAACTCTCATGAAAACAATGTTATCTCAGGCCCTAGTCATTCCAGATTGTAAGGAAATTACCACATAATCATTTTTCCAGCAACCTTCTTAGAAGAGCTGATTTTGTTTTTTGCATCCCCTTTCATCAAACTAGGGAGCCCTGGTGGTGTAGTGGCACTTGGCTGCTAACCCAAAGTTCACTGGTTCAAACCCACCAGCTGCTCTGCAGAAAGAGGCAGGGCAGTCTGCTTCCATGAAGAGTTACAGCCTTGGAAACACAATGGGGGTTGCTGTAAGTCACATTCAACTCCATGGCAGTGAGTTTGGTTTGGTTTTTGGTTTCATCAAACTCGGGAAAAAAGAGATCACTGTCCCTCACAACCAGTTTCTCCTGCAGAGGAAATTCAGAAAAGGGGAAGAGGCAGGCAGAATGGGCATGTCAGGCAGCAACTGGCTTGGAGACCCATGAGGTAAGCGTTCTACCAGATTTATGAGCTGGGAGACTCTGAGACCAGATTGTAGCTTACAGGAAACTTTCCTTCTTTTATATTCATTCTCCACTTTTCTTCTGAGTCACTTCTATTCCCCTCTACCTCGAGGTTAAAAACACAAAACACTGATTTAATAGGTAAGCAAAAGATTCTGACAAAGCACAAACCTAATCAGTGATGTCATCACTATAACTTTTCAATACTCAATTTTATAGCACCTTTTCCTTTAAAAATGATTTTAAAATAAGCAAAAGCCATTTGGGTTCTAAGCAAAAGTCTGTGGTAGAAAGAGAACTCAGGAGGGGGAAAGGTATGCTATAAGCAGTAGTAAATACAGATGGACACAGGCCAGAATAAATATCACCCCTGGAAATGAGAGCTGAGGACTAGAACAGATAGTCATATATGAAGCAGGAGTACGCTCCTTCATGTCCTACTGTAACATTAATGTGGCATGCTTTTGTAGGCATGAACTTAAAAACAAGCATCTTCCAGATAACACTACCAGGTTTGGCAAACTGCAAATTCTAGCATGATGCCAGACCATCAGACCGTAAATGGGAAGGGAAAGCTCTTATTTATCATAGAAGGAATGATGGAACTAGAAAATCACCATTTGGCAAACAACACAGGAGCAATTACCTCAAGCAAGAATCACCAGTGGATGTAAAACCAGTGGCTACACGTCTGAATGAGAAACAGCAAGATTTACAATGCTCTCAAAGTATCTCTCCACAAGATACTTATTCATCACAAAAGGGAAAAGAGAAACTCAACAAGGGGAGAAACCTGGCAGACTCCACTTGACCCTGGGACCCCCAGGAGTGGGGACATTCCACCACTTAGGCCCCCTGATAGCAGATACCAAGAACTAGCATCATTTCTGCACTCTACTCCCAAAATGTACAATCAGAATCTAATCAAGAGGAAACGTCAGACAAACCCAAACCAAGGGATGTCCTCGTATTTTGTAGGACAGTTATTTCAATGCCCTGTACTCTTCTAGAAGTCTGAAGGAGAAACTCAGTCTTCCAGACTAAAGAAGACTACAGAGTCAAGACAACTGAATTCAAGTGAGCATGGATTTACCCTGGACCAGGGGAAAAAGTATTCCTTTTGCTACAAAGGACATCAGTGAGACAACTGGCCCAACTTGAATATGGTCGGTAGATGAGTACTTAGATCCGGGTTGATTTCCTGCTTTAGATGAACGTACTGTGGTCATGTAACATGTTGGTTAGGAAATACATACTGAAGGACTTAGGGCTGTGAATATTTTACTGTCCTAGATCTTTAGGTTGGTGCTACATCAGTATCTTTTACTTATCAATTAAATCACTATTTTTCAAAAAAACCTTAGGGCACAGGAGACTATAAGTAAAGTCTGTGACCATATTCTGTGTTTGTTCAGAGGGGAAAAAAAAGGCAAATGTGGTAAAATGCTAACATGTAAGTAATCTACATGAAGGGTATAAAGGAATTCTTTGTACTATTTTTGCAACTTTTCTGTAAGCATCAAATTATTTCAAAATAAAAAAAAAATAAACTTTATTTATAGTTTACATCTGATCCTTTCTCTAAAATGATACTAAACCAAAAAAACAAACCCACTGCCATCGAGTTGATTCTGACTTATAGTAAGCCCCACTAGGTTTCCAAGGTGGTAATCGTTATGGAAGTAGACTGCCCCATTCTCCTTCCGCAGAGCAGCTAGAGGGGTTTGAACCGCCAACTTCTGGCTGTTGTTGTTGTTGTTATGTGCCGTCGAGTCGGACCCGACTCATAGCGACCCCTTCTTGGGTTTCCGAAATGCCTTAGGCATTGTGCCACCAGAACTCTCTCTATTTTTCTAGTTCTCAGGCTGAACATCTGAGGTATGAGGTTAGATGCTGTTTACCATATGAAAAAGGCAGAATGCTAGAGCAAAAGATCATGGGATTACGAGTCATTGGAGCTGGGTTCCGATCCCAGCATTCTCACCTGCTAACTACACAGAATTGAAAGCAACTAACAGATGGTTGCAAGAAAAATAGGGACCACATAAAGCATCCAGCAAGACACCCTTTGAGAACTGGGTGCTCCATGAGAAGACACTTCCAATATGCATAAGACCTTAGACACTCATTATTCTCTTCCTATAAGAAAAGTCAACAGGATGGTCACCAACATAGATTCCAGTCTGTCATCTGCAATGACTAATCCTCTAAGCTTTTCTGGGCCTAGATGCGCCTCCGTAAATTGAGACTGAGTTCAGGTCAGCAACATACAGGGTCCTTCAGATTCCAACGGTCTGGTGGGCCTGTGCAACCAACCATCACTGAGCTGTGCTCCTGGAGGGGCTGCTAGAATTTCTGTTCAGCCCCATCTGTCGCCCTGAGTGCATGCCCCTATTTGGAGGCTCCGAGCACCAAGCTTCAGCCATGCCCCCTTCTCCTTGGTTAGGATTCCTAACAAGGAAGGGGAGAAACAGAAGCTGGGAGTGAGTCCACTCTCCCGGTGCCCTTATGACTTCTTATAAAAAGTTCTGGAATAAGAAGAACAGATACCTCTTCACAAGGAGGCTGGAAACACCACAAGGTTGGAGGTTTCAAATATAATCAGGAACTGACTGAGCTGAAAAGGAACAAAGAGTGTGGGACTGAGGTCAGATGTGAAGCCACCATCACTACTGCGGTGGGCACCCTCCAGGTGCTGGGAGGTCTCCAAGCCTGGGCTCCAGTTCCCCCACCTGTACACAATGGACATGTACATAATAACCCTATATGTATATAATCCCCCTCAAAAAAAGAACATTTCTTATTCTTAAGATATTTTTTATCAGCTAAGTGTTCTAACTTGTAGGATTCCTAGAGGTAGAGTCCAAAACACTTCTCTCTGCCATCTAGATTTTATTAAATGCTGCCATCGGAACATTCATGTACTAACATTTCCTAAAAAATCTGCTTGCATGAACCAGCCTTCTAGATAAAAGCAATACTACGTTGTCAGTGATAACAAATGATGATCTACAGGTAAATACATGGGTAGACAGGCTGAATGATCAGGTTTATCTAGCAAAAAAGGAATATATCCATGACCATATATATAAGGCTGGGAGACAATATTTCCATATATGTATTTGCATATGCTGTAAGAATGGCCATCCATGTACAAGGGGAAAAGTTATGATAACTTCTTAGGCACAGCCAACTACTCAAGTAGTTAGACCTGTGGGCTTGGGACCATGGTCACAGGGGACATCAAGCTCAACTGGTATAACATACAATATAAAAACAATGTTCTACATCCTGCTTTGGAGAGTACCAACTAGGGTCTTAAAAGCTTTCAAGTGGTCATCTAGATGCAACAATGGGTCTCTCCTCATCCAGAGCAAAGAAGAGTGAAGAAAACCAAGATGCATAGAAACAATTAGTCCAAGGGACCATGATAACCTCAGCCTATATGACCATGAGACCAGAAGAACTAGATGGTGCTCAGATACCACTGTCAACCACTCAGAAAGGGATCAGTGGGATAGAGTGGGAAAACAATGTGGAACAAAACTCAAAATCATTTAAAAAAAAAAAAAAGGGCCAGGTTTATGGGTCTGATAGAGCCTGGTGAGACCTAGTTACCCTTCAGGTCTAGAACTGAACTCACTCCTGTGGCTTCCAATCAAACAAATAAGCAGATAGGGTGAATATTACATCAGGTAGATACACTCCTTAAAACAATCACTTATGGGAGAACAGAGGGCAGTGTTTGCACAAGGAAATAGCTTTGAGGGCAGGAGTACATGGGAGGAAAGGACACAGGGAAGACGTAACTACAGGGAGAAAGTGGGAAGAGAGCTGTTACAGTGTGGGGAATTGCAATGTCATGAAACAAAATGTGTATGAACTGCTGTATGGAAAACAAATTTGTTCTGTAAACTGTTACCCAATCACAATAAAAATTGAGGA